GAGCAGTTTTTTTAAATATCAGATTTTAAGTTTGAGGGGGGGCGATCGTTCAGAGCGAGGTTTCATAATACTTTTTTTTTCGTTCCTTAGTTTTGGGGAAAGAAAACTTGTTCTTTTCATCTTCTTTAATAATTTCGTACGTAGAACACGGATCGGATTTCTGATTTTGCTATTTCTCTCGGATTAATCTTGTTTACCGGATTATCATCCAATTTCCATTAATCGTAAGTTTTTTTTTATTATATCTAATCTATGGATTTATTCGTTTCGATTATGGATTATTGTGTTGATCATTCGATTATGAGTAGCTAAATTAATTGCTAGGGAATAGGGGATCGATGCTTTGAATTCGTGTGTGATTGTCGGGCCCTAGATTGTTCAATTTTATGCGATTCATTCTTAATTAGGGTTTTCGATTCATGCTTGAATGGTGAGAATTATCGAAGAAGTGACACTTCAATTTGCAATTATTTAATTGAATTTGATTCGTTCTTGCGTGAATTTGTTAATCCGATATCGAATAGTTGATTAACCATCTTCTAGGATTAATTAATCGACTCTTAGAACCGAAAGGGGAGGAGTCGGTCGAAATAGATTCGCATGAACTAGGCTTGTTCGTAACTGTATTGCCTAGGAGTTAATTGACTCGTAATTTTCCGTTCTAGTTTATTCTCTTGTTACGAAAAGTTATTGAGAATGAATGCTTGATTAGGTAGATTATTCGAATTCATTGGCTGAACAATCACTTGCCCGCAATTGCATCTCGAACCAAAGCGGATATCCCCGACTCCCTAGCATCGTTTAATCTTATTTGTTCTACGTGCCCGTTTGCTATTTAATTGCTTTACTTAATTTATTTGAAGTAGTTAATAATCAAACCAACCAAACTTTGATTTAGAATGTTTAGGAATTTCATTTCTTTTATTTTCCATTCTTGTGTTTGAATAATCGTACGAAATAATCCGGCTGACCTTCCTCGTGAGACACGACCCGGTGTCGAATCTTTTGATTCTACTCCGGAAAAATATTTACAACAAATTGGCGCCGTTGCCGGGGAAGGTTTAGGTTTATTTTGTGCGCCTATTCATCTTGTTTTTAGTGTTTCTCTTATTTCTTGTGTTTTCTCTTGTTTTGAGTGTTTCTCTTGTTTTCTTTTTATTTGGTAGATATTAGTCCTTGTTTTATTTTGT